GTCGGTCCGACTTTACACCCTCGTTTAGTGTGGGGAGGGGAGGGGGGGGGGAGTTTGGATTGGGAGAGGGGGACGCAGGGTTAGGTTTAGTAGGAAGGACGACCACCTCCTGTTTTGGTCTACGACGACATTTTGTTAGTTCTTCCGCGTTTAAACATATACGGGCGCCATTTTGTCATGTACTCCACTGGAACTTCTCAAAACGATATACCGATGCGGAATTGAGTGCCAATAATTACAAGTTGTAGCAAAATCAGGTTCAAACATTTAACCTAAAGAGTTAGACACTAAAACGCAGAGAAACTAAGCCTGTTGTAAGACCCATTTTACAACAGATGCGTTAGTCCACCAAGCCTAGGGACTCGGAGGACGCTCAGGTTGTAACAGGAACCATGTGTTATGTCCCGACGGACCGTAATACCGTTTTTAGTATTAGAGCTAATAAATCACAGTTATTAACATAACGCTAACTAATTTACGCATGAATAAGTAACTGAAACTTTTGTAGGTACAATAACCTCTTTGTACAAAAAACTGTGTCATACAGAAAATTGTCAACTAATGGGACATTGAAATTCATCTATTAGAGTAGAATTTTTGGGGGTTAAAAAGAAATGAATATTATTATTAAATTTTTTTTTAGCGAAATAAAGCTAATGCAACAAAAGAATTAGCAACGTGTCGGTATTAGCGCTCGAATGGTATGACTAATTAACTCGTGCGGATGTGCTATGAGCATCGGGTTTAAATGAGATATCAACCGAAGATGCCCAACCTTCACATACATATTCATAGAAACCTATTTCGTCGTCGAGAAATTACTACGCACATTACAACAACAATTTTACATGCAACGAATAGGATCTGGGAGGTCTTTTTTGCTAAAAATAGAACCACAAAAGAGAGAGCACAATCAAGGTGAGCAAATGAGATGCCACAACAAATGGCAAGACACTACACGCTCGACTACTGCGGTGCGTAGTAGTAGTGATCGAAGTGCAGTTCTGCTCAATTGAAAAAAAAAAGAGTTGAAACAGACGTTTTTTCCCCTAATACGCCGAAAACTATTTATACGCCGGAAAATTTTTAGACGCGGTAAAACGACTAATAGCCAGCGGAAAAAAGACACTCCCAGATTATAGGTTTAGAAAAAAGATGATTTACATAAACGTTCACTACAGGTTTGTCTTGGATGTCATACAAAAATAATTTTTCCTAAAATGCTAGTAAACAATATAGGACGCAAATATCTCTAAAAACAAACATAAGTCAACAAAACGTTTCTTAACCCTTATTTGAGTCCGAAAGTATGTCAACTATCCATACACAACAAGAGGTACAGAAACAAAATTCTCCTCAGCATCTTCGTCGGGTCCTTGTTATTAAGAAAGCGAACGAACGAAAAGTACCTATTCATTGTGTCTTTGTGAACTTGTCAGTTACCTCACCTTCTATCGAAGTGGATTACACGTAGTGGAACCTAAATGCTACACTAATGTTCTTACTGGTTTCGTCCGACGTGACGAGGGAGACACAACCCGTTCACATACAATTTTCAGTCGCACACAACAAAACCAATGCGACCTAATGAGCCTGTGACCTGTCACACTAAATCACGGAAAGAGGATCATAGTATAAAAGGTAGAGCCGGGTGCCACACGCTTTACGTAAAAGTATTTCTATACAGAATACCTCATATATAACCATAGTAACGACTGCAATGGGGGTAATAACGGTTGGAGGTCCGACGTCTTGGTGGAGCAAAGAGGTAGAGGTGACGATTCACGAAGAACGACACCTAAAAAGAGAGCGAGCATAAGGGTCTCTAACCGAGAGTTAGGTTCACCACATCCGCCGTGGTATTGGCAGGAAAGGGACCACCAAAAAGTTAAACACTTCAAAAGCAAAGAGAATCGCCACCATAAGACAACGGACAAGTCGGTACAACCGATAGTGACGAACATGATTGTCGGGTCAATGAAGAGGATAAAGGAGGTTTGTTTTGCCGACAACAACGGCGTCCCTTTACATTTGCGCTAGTAGAATACACCGTCTCCAATAAAGGGACCTTCTGGATGTGTGTAGGTCCCGGAGGGTGGTGGAGTGAGACTAAACCACAATGCAGAATTCTTCTCTTGTAAACCGTCGCTCATACAACAGAAAAAAAGTCGTGTTCTGTCAGCTTTGACTGGTGAAGAGCGGTCTTAACTTGTACAGACGCAGGGCTTTTCTTTACGTGCAGACAACTAGAGGAAAAAATTAAACTCATCTAATCGAGCAGGCAGTGTACTCAGTAAATCAAAAGCAAACTTCCGAAATAAATTCAGTTAACTCCTGACACTTGCCTCTCAGTCTTTTTAAATGGGTATAAACATTCGATAGTATATTTTACTCCTTAAAACATTGGGCTACGTGTCCAAATATCGCTCTATTCTCTCAACATCGGTCGTCAAGGTCTCATATGATTTTAAATCTTGTTGATGCGGAAGGTCTGAACTAATTATGAAGTGATTAAGAGATCATTTGGAGCAACACACCAATGCACTTCTGCCTTCCCCCAGTCCACCCAGCTCTGAGTAGAGCGATCAATAAGTGGTATGGCCACAGGCTATTTACTGAGACACTTGTTTCCTTATTTCAGTTGCTTCCTCCTATTAAACACAGGAGCAGGGAGAATCGAAGTGGATTTGGAGGGGTTATATTTCTGTTCCGTCCATGGTGGCGAGGTTGAGTGTGTTGTGATGTCTGTATTATTTTAATCTTTTGAAGGTTAATATTATCCTTCTGAGTGTGAGGGCTTTTTGAGAGATAAACAGGATTCTGGGGATTGTGGATGACGACGAGTCTGAATGGGAGTTTTGGAAGATCTTTGCGCTTAGTCATCAGCTAATAATCCTTTAAAGCAATGAAAATCCATGCCCATATGATGCCGCGTTTGCTATTTCTGTGCATGAAATATGCATGAAAAATGACAAGGATTCTTTTCTTGGATGACTCATTTTTTCTTTCCCTTTCAAAAAAGAGATCCGTTTCGTTGTGGATGCTCCTTCCAAGCTGCCCTGTGGGTAGCACGCACAGCCTCCATGCTACACAAATCAAAGACTGTGTGTGTTATAGATAATACACACTGTCTGCTTCCTCTAAAAAAGGGCAACGAATACAGGGGTGAGGAGGACAAGAAGAACAAGCATGAATCTACACTTATGACAAATATCCACAGTAAACCCCCAAACAAAAACACGGCGCATGACTCTGCATAGAAATGAAACAAAGGAGAATGAGAGTCTGAGGTTTTGATTCTTAACAAAAGGTCCCTTCTTCGACACGAGCACCTCTCTGGTCTGTAAATATGAGGCAAATTGCTGACAGTGCACGCTACAGGTTATATTTCCCCTCTAATTGCTGGACTCCATCCACGGAGCTTCATGAAGCGTAACCAGACAGTCATCCAGTGTTCGTGCTGCGCTGCTTGTGGCCGCGGCGGGTTGGCAGGCGGAGCCCAGTCCATGTTCGACAAGGGGTTAACGTTTCTGCAACACAGCTCCACAAAACCACAGGAAGACAGCCAGTCTGGACGGTCGGAGCGAGGCCTGTCACTCGTCCAGATCGTGGTCTTTTTCTCTTCTTCTCCTTCCCTCTGGCCTTTCACTGAACTCAAAGCCTTTCCTCCCAGAATTGACACACTCAACAGCTTGGCTATAATTTCCAAGCCTGCAGTAACCACAGCGGGACCACAGGAGGTAGAGCCACTGCACGCCTGTTTTCGGAATCAAGCGTAATTACAAGCCTGCCAAGAATCAAACCCGATGGCTGATGATTGGACTAGTAGGGGGGGGGGGGGAAGGGATGTCAGTGCTGAAAACATCTACTGTATTCACCTTTACTTCCAGTCTGCTGCCACAATGAAATGAAAAAGGGGAAACAGATGTAACTACATTGGCAATTTGCAAGTCTGTGCCACCACAGGCAAATTAACTTTTAAAATAATGCAAGCCAATATATGGAAGATATTTTCAAGCAAATTGACGGAAAACCTTTCTTCCAAGCACAGTTTAGATGTTGACTGAACATTGGAAGAGTGGCTGCAATCTATTGAAAAAAACAGAAACACTGACAGCCAGTCAGGACAGTGATGGAGGATGCTCTTCAGCAGAAGGCACGCGTCCGTCTGCTCCGAAAGGTGCATTTGTTACGCTCGACGCAACATGTTAATGTGATTTCTGGCCAAACGGGGCCAGACCTGGGGGCCAAGGCCCGGTGGTCTCAGCAGATAACCTGGACCGGCCTGTGCTGCGTCAGCCCGGGTTATTGATGGCCAGGAGCCTGCAGGGCTGACAGGTAATAATTCACTCCCCAGGGGTCCCACACCCTTCACTGGACACAGCCGGGAGAGTACTGAGGGGGAGGGTGCAGGGACACAGCCTTGAAGCTCACATTCACTTTACCCTCCCTCTTCTTCCTTTCTACACTATCTTCTTTAAGAAAGGGGGATCTCATTGGTTGCCCAGTTGCCACGGGTAACTAGCCATTATCAAAATGAAATATGAGGTGCCACAGGCCGGTGCCTCTCAGGTGCAGGGCCAAACAAAGTCCCATATGTTGCGGATGAGGAGATTAGATTAACTGTTGCTTCCTGAAGCACGCCGCCCATTCTTCAGACAGCAGCACTTGTACAATGCCGCCGTGTGTGTGTGTGTGTGTGTGTGTGTGTGGGGGGGGTCTGCGACACTTTAGACAAATCACTGTTGTCGTGGTGCCACAACAATAGCCCAAAAAATATCATCCTATACTCTCAAATTCCGCTGAGCTTGAAATGGGGGTTGAGAATGAGCGCAGAGTGAAGGAATTCAGCAACTTCAACTTCGCCCGGGGGGTTTAATGTAACGTGTCTTTGTGTATGCCACTAAAATTCACATTTCTCCCCAAACCAATCAAAACTGCAGACTACCCGTGTGTGTGTGTGTATGAGAGCTATGTTCAGATATTGACTACTTTATCTCGATGATGAAAATGAAAATAGCCCGCTGAATGTTCCCCAAGGGCCACAGTCCTCAGTCCCTGTTAGGAGCCTATTTCAACCATCATTACCTTGAGGACCATTAGAAAGACGCCATCTGCACAAACGGGGGCCCCTTCACCGGGGGCCTCTTGTCATTCCAAACTAAAAGCAACTGGCGAAATGGAAATCGGAAATAAAATTACACTGGGCTAAATGCACCATTAACCATGCTAACTGTGCGGCGGACCTATCAGGCGCTGAAAATGAGAGCCGGACGAAGAGCAAGCAATTTCCAGAGGTGACGAGGAAATGAATGCAGCGCTCGTTCTTTGCGCGAGCACACGTTCAACTCACCCGTCAGCAGAATGTGACTTCCCTAATGGTGTCGGGTTAAAAGAAAAGGAGAGAGCAGTTGATTGTTTGCGAGCGTGGGAGACTGCCACAATCGAGGCTTGAATATAGATTTGTTTGCACTATATATAGTCCAAGTAGGAGTGCAGTCAGACACTGGTAGGTATCAGACACAATTCATCAGGCTACACAGGAGCATCTCACTTCTCCTGCAGGGAAGCAGCACCTTCCCTTGTCAGCAGGCCGGGAACATGTCAAATAAAATAACCTGAAACCTCATCTCAACGTCCTCTGAGCGCCACAGAGTGCTAAGTCACTGTACATGTGCGGTAGAAAACCACAAGCCATCATCAGGCCTCCTCATCATGTGATAGCACTGCCGCTGAGACCAGGCAAAACCAAAGAAAATCACAAGACTCGAACACACCGTTTCCACTTAAACATCTGACTGCTTGGGCTAGATAGGGCATGATGCGTTTCCCTCCAACAGCCAAAACAAGGCCTTTATTCTGAATAAGCAAAAGCTGCCTTTGCTGCTCAATCAATGCACCCCGTAAACTGAATATACATTTTTATTTAAATGACTCAAACTTTTGCAAGGCTAGCATAGATCAGAGAAGAGCCCGGCTGCCTTTGAGCGAGGCAAGAAGGCACAAGATCGAAGAAGTAGGAGTGTAGTGTGTCTGTGTGCATATGAGATGTATTTATTGTTGAAATGTTCTTTGCCTCGACTGAAAGTGAACACCCACTGAGGGCTAAGAGCGGGCTAATGCACACCAGGCTGAGACAAATCACAGTCCCAGTTCTGCAGGATGGCTCAAGAGCAGCAGCATAAATAAAGCGGCAGCAGCCCCTGGGAGTCTGATGAGACAAAAACACAGCTTTCTTCATCTCTCTCTGTGCGTCGTAGTCAATACTCAAATCCAATACTGCTGGAAGTCTGCATGCAAAAGCAGAGACCTGTTACAAGAATGAGCTCATCGAGTTTGGCTTTCAGACAAAATGCAGATGAAGCGAGCATGATTTAAGAGGTGAAATCCATGCAAAGTGAGAGGGTGCAGCTTCAATATAATCGAACAGTGTTCTCTGTTCAAAGCTGATTCGTTAACGTTATCTGCTAGTTAAAAAGGATTTGGTGCACAAACAGGTCTTGAGCAAACAAATGTGGTCTGTCTCTGATGGGAAATAAACCTGAGTATCCAAATTCAATTAGTGTCTTCGGCTAAGACGCCACTCAATGAGAGCTTATCGGGGTCTAATACCTGATAATAAGTTGCAGCAACAGACAGAGAAAACCTGATGAGTTGTGCAGAAATGGAAAATGTACACAATGCATGTGCAAATCTGCTAAATGTATATGAAAACCCCGAACAAAGAGAAGAACACACACATTTCTAATAGCTTGCAGAAATGATTAAGTCAGATAATACTGGCTTGCAATCAGCCTTCAGTGTAGAGACGAGACACAGACGAGGAAAACGGGAAAAACAAGCCGCTTCTACGGAACCAAAATGCAACTTATGGCAGAGTTTAAGCGCATAAAACGTGACAAAAATGTTGTGTTTACGTGATTCAAATTAATGTAGACGTTTGGACACCATTAATAAGGTGAATTAATGTCTCCTCTGTGGGAAACTTGGAGCATCAGCCTCCTAATGAGCTAAGTAAACGCAGCTGCAGCAGCATCGCTAAAGTCATCAACTAGCACCACTTCTTACCTTATTGTTTCCTTCGTACGTCCAGTAAAAAGAGAAAAATACCCCTCGTTGTCTCGCAGAGGAGATACTGAAGCGGTACAAATTCGTTTAGACGAGGCAGAGTTGTTAGTTTTTGCTAGTTTTCTTCATTAGTAATCCCAGAGCACCAGAGAAAGGCGCCCCTTCACTCCTGTGACAAGACTGGAGCCAGACTGAAGTCACAACACTTCGGGAGCCGGAGCTCAGGCCACGCCCCCTAAGCTGCAGTCTGACAGAGGTTCTAGCCAATCAGGAAGCGACGTTAGGACCACGTCGCCTCCCATTGGTTAGTAATTCGAGCTTTTGTGTTAAGCCCCGCCCAGATGTAGCTCACTTTTCCCCCAGATGTTAAATGCCTCAACATCAGGGCCCCCAGCCAGCCAATCAGAGCGCAGAAAGAGGGTATTTAAACACACACATAGTTTGACTTTATGGGAGGAGCAATTTAAAAGTATGTGAAATTACATTAGACACATTATTCTCTTGTAAACAACACCATATTAGTACGTTTTAGCTGTCATTTTTTTCTACATTTGTATCTGTTCAGTAGGCTAAATGAAAAAAAGTGTTAATCTAAAAGTGATTTGCTAAAGTGACTAATGTATAATATTGATATTGTGCTGTAAAGTCTGCACTGTGGTGTAAGATCTGTATATTATTACTTAAACATTAAATCCTGGTATTTGTTTGGCATTTCTGCTTGATAAATGACTTTAAAGTTTAATTACTTATCCATTTTTTGTAGATTAATTTCCTGGCTATCAACTAATTGATTCATTGACTCGTGAATCATTTCAGCACTGTAAAATGATTTGTCCTCTCCTAATCGATCACGGTGACACTTCACAATAACACATACGGCAGAAATAAATATTCTATACAGTTTCTTTCATATAAATCATGTTGCTATAGGTAGTTATGCAAAGCACTGAAAATGCAAACAGCTTGCACTCTGAATGTCCTAGATACACTTTGAAAAGCACGGACAAAGTGTACCAACAAGAGCTAATCAGCTGGGGAGGATGATGTAAAGTTCTCTAATAAGACACCTGCGCAGAGAAGGCAGCACTCAGGCATTTAGTCTGACTCCAGCACTCGATGATAATCTAATAGATGGCCGTCGACTCGCTGACTCATTCATCTCTGGCCTTCATCTACTGCATTTCCATTTCAGTCACTCTTTCTTGTCGAAAGTGTTATAAAGGGAGAAAAAAGGACAGCTCAAGGGGCTCTTGCAGTAATTGTCTGCACCGCTTATAATACATTTCAACCGTTAGCCTGTTTGCTAGTCGGCTTAATGAGATGGCGTCCTTTCAGGTCACGCTTATTCATCGCGTTCCTCTTTGTCCTCAAGCTGCAGAGAAATGGTGGTGAGTTTCTGTTCGGCTCGTACTCCTCCTGACTATAGTAGATTTACTCTTTCCTGTTGGCAGTGCGATGCTGCCTGTTGTGGAGAGGCTCTTTAAAGGGGAGGGGAAGGACATGATTCCAAATTGATTTGTGTGGACTCTCTAAATCTTTGGTCACCTTCTGTCCGCCACCACACTCTGCCAGAAAGGGATGTTGGCAGTAAAGAGGCTTAATATATTGACAAGTTGTTCTTCTTTTGTTCTCCTCATAATTGTCCTCGGTGGTTGCATCGTAAACACCTTCAGAGCCCGGGGGTCCGCTGCTCCATTGCACTGTAAATAAAGTACAGATTTACGGTGATAAAGCTGGGTTTTCAGGTATTGGTATTATGAAACGATAACTCAATATTTTGTGAAAATAATGTATTTTTATTTCTTGCCAATGGCTACATATGAAGAGTTATTCCACTCTCATGTCTGCATGTTAGCTTAGCTTAGCTTTATGATTGGAAACTAGCCTGGATCTGTCCAAAGGTAACTCAATCTGCCAACCAGCACTTTTAAAACTCACTAATTGATATTTTTTTACATAAAAAACTAAGTGCAAAAACAGCAAGTTGTGTGATGATAGATGTGTCAGTTTTGCAGTAAGTTATGCTACTGTAACTGGCTGCTGGCTGTTGCTTTATATGAAGTCAATATCTATCTCAGGAGAGAAAGTGAATCGACATATTTCCTAAAATGTTAAACCGTTCTTTTAGCAATGAAGCCTTTCTCCTGCTTTGAGTATAGACTTGTTATTATACTTGTTATCCACCACCACACCCCTTCCCGCTGCCTCCGCTCATCAGAGGCCAACCTCCTATCCATCCCCACCCGCACCAATCACCGGACCTGGGGGGACAGAGCCTTCTCCGTCGCTGCCCCCTCNACACACACAAACACACACACACACACAACCACACACACACACACACACACACACACACACACACAACACACACACACACACTCACACACACACCACACAACACACACACACCACACAACACACACATAATTACCCCAGCCCCTCCCTGAAGAAGTTAATAGTATAACTTTAATTTTGAACCCCAGTGTCGGCGTATGATCCCTCAAGTGACTTTGTGCAAAGACGGCCGCGAGCGGGAATGACTGAACTGTGTCGTCATTGTGTTACGTATGTTAATTGTGCAGATTACTGGTACATTCGATAATTTTTTCTTCGGGGCTACTCAGTGTTCGGAAGTAGTAGTTGGGTTGGACACCTGTGACTGCTACACACACACACACACACACACACACACACACACACACACACACACACACACACACTACAGCACCCCCTTTTGGTAGGCGTACTGAAGGTTTTCAAAGGGTAACTCTAGCCTTCAACTTACCATCTTTGCTTGCAGGAAAACATGTCAAACATTATGAGAAATGCACAAAAGCTTAGTCAACATAGCTTTCCAAATTACACTGCTTTATAAAGGACTGCACACCAATGCACCCTTTGCACCGGTGAGCATGTCATTCATTGATATGTTGCAATTTGCTGCCAAGGTGATGCTGAAAAAAGGGTATTTTAATCCTTTCTAAAGCCAAGCAACCCCTATGTGGAGAAAATTACCTATTCATACATCACAATAGTAAAATTCACCCCTGCCAATAATAATGCAATTAAGAATTGAGGCCTTAAGGCAGGGAAAACATTTAAATTATTTTCTTTTGTGTGCTCAAGGCTGAATATGACCAGATTTTACACAGAATGAAATGATAATTAAACAAGGTGCTTTTTTACTTAAATCCTGTGTGCAGTTTCTCCTGCAGTGAAAGTCTAAACTTACCAGCCATTGGAGTTTGAACTGCCTACCCTACACTAACATAGCCTCAGTAGCCTACAGCCTAGGGGTGATTCAAGACTGCTGGAGTGTCGTGTCAGTGTCACACCTATTCGGTAGAGTTATGAAATTCACTAGTGGGCTGAAACCATGGATGTATAATAATAAGAACCTAAGGCTGAAACTGTAGCACGGCAGTCGCCATTTTGGTTCAAGCCTCCAAAGGGATATAGCGGATGTGCCAGGAGCAGTAGTGCATTCAAGGGCTGAACAGAAAGTCGTAATAAGGACAAATAGCTGTTAATTGAATTATTTGTGTAATATCAAAACGTGAGATGTGACTCGGATGTGTAAATGAGTCTGACATTATTTTATATTCTATTTACGCCTTCTGGTGTATTCATATCTTATGAATTGGTGTTTAAAGATATGTGTATACTTAATTTGTGAACTGAATGAGCAACAATGGTATGCAAAAGTACACAAGATCAGCGGATGTTTATATTCTCCTATCTTCTGTAATACAGTTATGTTACAATGTGTTTGACTATTTGTATTACTTTGTTAAACCTCACCAGCAGAGGTTGAAAGTAAATACATATATTTACTCAAGTGCTGTACTTCCGTCCACATTTGGGGTACTTGTACTTTACCCGAGCATTTTCATTTTTTACGACTTTATTTACTACATTTATTTTTAGATATTAATTTACCAGTTACATTATACATTTATGGATTTTGAGGCAAACAACTTTAGAACACTTTTAAAAATATGTTATTAATTATAGTTAATATATTATTTGGTATACATTAAATCATCTAACATAATATTTAATTCACTAAAACAATGAGTGGGTTAACAGAACATTTCTTGGAATTAAGATTGTTTTGTTAAAAAAATATGTGCTGCTCTTGCTTTAAAATATTTTAATATTTGTTTTGCAATAACTGCTATTACTCCAAATACTTTAAGTACATTTTCCTAATCGCACTCTTATAATTTTACTTTTACTGAAATGTGTGGTATTATAATTTTTACTCAGGTTAAGAATATTTGTGTTACGTAACCTCTGGTTTCAGAAGGCGGATTTTCCTTAAGGACAGTGAAGGCAGCATCGCTGGCAGTCTTCCGCTTGTTGGATAAACACGCAGCTTCCAAACATGACCGCTGCTGTCGTTGTCCGGAGGTTAGCAGCTCTGTCAGGGGCTTCTGCGGTGGCAGCAGGGGCATACGGGGCTCACGGTAGGGTCACTGCACATTAGAGTATTCGCCATACTCATGCAATAGCTAAAACAGCGGGGAAACACTGCCATGTCAAGCTAACCACTCCAGCCTCCGTTGCAAAAAATGCCAATTTAAGATTAGCTTCTATAACGGCGCTTTTGTTGGACTAAAAAATAACACATATCTGCTGCTAATATAGAATAGGCTAATAGTTAGTTTGGCATACAAATGACACTCAAAGCAGCAGCATGCTAATTTACTAAATAAACAGTTTTGTAATGAAGGTGGCCGCCCCCTGTGTGTCATGGAGGAGTCAATGGCAAACGTGCAGTCAGAAAGTCAAGTTAGTATGAATTAAGCTAAACATTGCTCTATTTAGTTTTTTTTACGAGACATCAGACATCATGTTTGGAATGCACTATTTGAGACAGTTATATTTATACCCCTCAGTATTCACTACTGCCATTGATCAAAAGCATCAACAAAAGCCTAAACTTAAAATCTTCAGACATTAGTTACTCATTCAAAACAAATGTGTTGTGTGGGGAACTTATAACAAACTATTGATGCCATTTAAATTGTCATAAAGTGTGTCAACATATTATTTCTTTCATATTTCTGTTCTAGGCTTCAAAAACAGCGACCCCGATGACTACCAGAGAGTGGTATGTTAATATTGCTGTGATGGCAAATGTTGATGTTAAAAAATGTTAAAAAAACACTTTTTACCTGATCACTGTCACAGTCTTGATCGTGTCAGAGATCATGATCTGGATTATGCAGGATTAGTCTGAGTGCTGTTCTCTCTTTGTGTCTTGCTTTTCCAGCTATTTGAAACAGCCAACAAGTATCATTTCTACCACAGCCTGGCTCTGCTGGGTGCTGCCCACTCCAGCAAACCTGCTGTGGTGAGTATGAAACCTAATACCAACTGTTAGCCCTCAAGTGTCCCTTTTGAAAAGGAATTTTAAGTGTCATTCTGTCATAATCCGTCTGTCCCCACTCAGAAAACCAGCATGGAATTGAAAGAGAAGTTGTTATTGTAACTCCTTTACACACAAATCTACAGTACATTTTAGCTACAACATGCATTGCTTATTCGTTATTAAAAAAACATTTAATTTGAATACAAAATGACTGAAACAATGGGGTAAAAATTGAGACTGGTAGCTTTTTAAATATGTTTTTTTCCCTTAAAAGAAGGAGAAGTAACAATAGGCTGTTATCATCACATTATAAATAAGTAATAATATTATGTATACCTTCAGTACTAAGGGCATGTGTATTTATGCACGATATATAATTTACAAAATAGGCAACCATAAAATAAATGAATTATTCAGAAGTGTACAGATTTGTTCAATATACATTTTGTCCTATTTTCAGATTTATGTTTCTAATTTTGTTTGATGCAGAATCTAAAAAGAAACAAGGCCATTTTCTTTCACACTAAGTAGTAGAAGTACGAAATAACTCAATTTAATATATGACAGCCTTTTATCTTCCTAAATCAATGTGTTTGTGCCACTGAATCTAAAAGGAACAAGTACATTTTCTTAAACTTACATTTTAAACCTAATAAATGAAGTCAATTAATCTGCTTTTTGTCAGTAACCTAATTTATAAAATGTTTGTCTGTGTCCCCTCTCTACAGGCGGGGACGCTCCTGATAGCGGGCATGGGGATGTTCTGTGGCTCTCTGTACCACCAGTCCATGACCGGAGACCCTGCTCTACGCAAGATTGCTCCCATGGGGGGTGTAGCTATGATCGCTGGCTGGCTGGCTTTAATTCTCTGAACTGTAACAGTTCACGTCCCCTCCACAGGGCCGCTCTGTGACGCTGGACTGTCAGACTGTTAATGGATGAACTGCAGAGCTTGGGGGGGTGGGGGTGGGGGGGAGTTTAGAAGTGCTGAGTAATGTTGCCCATCTAATCGCTCCCTGTCCAGGGGTTGTGGGTGTCAGCGGCAGATAAGGTCACAGGATTATCACTTTTCTACCATTGCTGTCTGTTTCTGATCGCTGCCCTTAAGTTAAAATGGATACACAGAGAATAAAGCATGTGTCATCTCAACAAATTGTTGACTCATTTCCACTGGTATGTCAATTTTGAACTTGGAAATCAAATCTAGAAGTTCCTGAAGCTTTACTTAACAGTCAATAAATACAGTTTCTATTTATGTTTCTGTAAATGTATACAGCAGTGGTATTGCAGAAGTAGAGCAAAAATGAAAAGAATATGAGGAGAAATAAATACTTTTTCTTACACATTGTTGGGTTGCCTGATTTTTACACATTACTTTCTCATTACTTCTCCAAGTAAATGTTTTCAATCTGCCTAATACATGTCCTTTTCACTTCACTACATGGTCTTGTAAAGGTTGTATTTTGCTGATTAGCATACCAGACAAACAATGTAATTGGTTTATAAATTATTATTCATTTTTATAAATGAATATAATGCAGATTAAACTGACTACCTGATCGATTACAATTGTCTCACTTGTTAATACATTAATGACTAATACACTATTCAAATACATAAAACAATCACCCTGAAAGTGTTAATTCTGCATAATGAGTACTTTTAGGAATAAGTGTTAAATGGCAATTATAGTCCAGACTGAAATTCCAATTATTTTTTAGACCTATAGTAAGTAACATTTATTTATAAAGCCCTTTTTCCAGACATAGTCACAAAGTACTTGACAAAGCATTAAAACATCAAGCCACGTGTAGCATTCCCCAAGATAGGTTAGATACTATACATGTACATAATCAACCCAGTCTCACGGCATTTCGTGTTATAGTCACGACATTTAATCTATTGATTCGTGTTCACCAACACGATTTCCCCCTTTTTTTCGTGTAACATAGAACGATTTTAAAAGCAATGTATTTCTATTGGTAGTATGTTTC